AAATCAAATTATTAGTGGCTGAACAAAGGATGCTTCCAAATTAGCATATCCAGCCCAGATAGCCATCCATTACAGATTGGTGATAATTGGGAACAATACTATTTTGATAGCAGACCCAATTCAGATCCAACCCTGCCCTCTGTCTATGAATCCTGAGTTAAAAACCAGGAAATATAGAGTACATCCATTAAAACTTTTGCTTTATATCAATAGATTTTGACTTAAATGCAATAAGATTTGGTTTACACTTAAAAGCAAAAAGACATGGAAAGCACATTAATATTGAGTAGAGTCTATACAGTGGAAAAGAATGAGACATTTTTACCAGTATTCAGGCTTCTGGCTGATGTCTTCAAGAAAGCAGTGAAGATGCTCTGCAATGGGCTGAACAATGTTGCTTTGGATCTTTTTGTCCAGGAGAGACTTGGCTCGGCTAGAAAAGGTAGGAGCGATAAGCAGTGGCCAGATTTCTTGGATATTGCCCTCTTTGCCTCCTAAGACCCATTCACACAAGGGAATCCATGACTTGAAATGCAAATCCTCGCCCAGTTCCTCATAGAGATTCTCCCTGATAGTGGCCAGACTCCGAAATCCTCCTATTTCCTCTGCACAGAGCAAAACAAATTATGTATGGTATGGACCTACTGAGGCTGGCTAGCAAGAGCAAAAATGTAAAACCAAACTATTATATGCAACTGCAACAAGCAGCAATGAGGCTTGGGCATGATCAATACTACTGCCCCACAACTTCAACTCCAATCAATTGTCTCATTTGAAATCAGCTTCAAAATACCATGATGCTATCCACTCAGATCACTGGAGGGGTGAAGTCCAAAGAGTGAGCTCAATGCAGGATATGCCAGCCTATATTTGCCTTGGAACTTTTCCTCATGTTTTTATTCCATTTTATCTTTTGTGAAAAAAGCATAAGAAGTCCAGAGGGAAAGAGGATACAAAATGCAATGATGCTCACTCAGAATTCCAGGTAGGTGCTCTTGTACAAACTGGACAAGGCTGGTGGCCCATTTGGAGCAGTGACTTCTGATATCTTCTATTGGGAGAGGCTCCATACCATGCTTTACACGGGGCCTATGACATGTCACACCTCAGAGATCAGCACAAGAAATGCAGGCATAAAAAAGCGATTGCTCCAGTTACAACATGCTGCATTGATATTAGTTTTGATGAGATTGAAATAGTGCTGCCTTGAACTAAAACTATCAAAAGTTAAACTCCAGGCCAAGATGGCGTTCATCATGAGAAAAGGTTTGATGGTGTAGTGGCTAGTACTTCAAATAAAATTGGAAAAATTTGAGACAAGGATTTTTTTTTTAAATAAGCAACAAATTTCCATTGTGAATCAAATTTCGAGCACTTCCCTTCAACTGGTGCCTGGTATAGGGTTATAAAAAAAAACATGAATGAGAAAAATATCTAAAAATACAAATTTAAAATAAAGCAAAACAAATCAGTTTATTTTTCTCCTGAGACTGTTCCACTATAACCCTCTGAATCTTCCATAAAAATTGTTGAAGGTCTGTCTGAAATAGTTTTTTTTCTGACATACAATGCAAAAGAAAAAAAAACCCAATCCTTGAAAGAGAGAAAAGTATCACAAAGAAAGTCCAGGATAAAATTTACTAAAAATAAAAATACAAATAATTTTGTACCTAAAAATTAGCTTTAAAGATCAGTAACTTTAGATGAAGCCATAGTATGGTGCATTGTATTCCAGGGATGCTACAAGTACTTTCACACATCTGCTATCAGTGTGAAGAAGGAAGGAAACTCATGCTATTGGCAGTAGAGAGCAATAGGGTTAACACAGACTCTCTTTGGGTTAGCTCCTCCATAATGGCATTACCAAAAAAATGCATAATTTATCCCCCAAACCAACTTAACCATTTAGGAGTCTCCTTTGCCTAAGGGTATGTTTTAACAACTTCCCTTTGCTTTCCCACTGTCTTGTAGTGGAGATTTTAGAAATAGGGAGAAATTGGATCCACAATTTTCAGACACAATCATGTGGATCCATAGACTTTCTTCATTGCATGCAAAGGTCAAATTCTTTTTTTTTTTACTTAGACCCTTTCAGTGTTGAATTCTGGAACCTTATTACCCTGAACAGGGTAAGAAGGCCTGATGAGCATTTACCCTAAAGGGTAAGAAAAAGAAAAGGCATTTGTTCTATTGAGAGATGAAACATGATCAGTAGAGAAATCAAGTTTAATGGTGGGGACTCATTAGTACCACTCATGAGTTATTCCCACCCATACTACCATAGGGATGTCAGGACCAGGAACATTTTCCCCTGATGGAGGTATTTGCCAGTCAATGTCAACATCAACAGGCCATGAATCTATGAGCATGTCTTTTAAGATACAAATTATTTTACTAACTGTTCTTCTGATTGCTATTGATATATTCCAAACTGAGCAAGCAGTCTAAAAAATCTTGAAGGAGAAGCTTTTGTCTTAACACCACAAGAGTGCAATGATGTGATGAAAATGTCAATAGTCAAAGAAGGGGGGGATCTGAGCAATATTGCACAGTTAGGTTTCACATTGACAAGTGCATAAAGATGCACTTTATTTCTAGAATAACTGCATATTCTTGTACAACAAAAAAATTCCAAAATGATATAAGAATCATTTTGGCATGTTGATGGGTTCATGGAAAAAATAAGAGTACTATATAATGTACTAAGAATATTAAGCCCTTCTTCATCAGTTAATATGCTAAAAGTTATTTGCTGAATGGTTCGTCAGCTTTCACAACCATGATTATGGCAGCATCCAAGGATGTCCAAAAAAAAGCAAAAGTACAACATGAGTAGTTCACACAATAATGGAAAAATTGGATCACCTTACCTGAAGTGAGGAATCCT